GATCAGGAACAACAGCTGGAACTGAAGGATCAGGAACAACAGCTGGAACTGAAGGATCAGGAACAACAACTGGAACTGAAGGATCAGGAACAACAGCTGGAACTGAAGGATCAGGAACAACAGCAGCTGCAGAAGACTCAGGATACTCAGGAACCGAGGTATCTGGAACCACCGATGGAGCATTGAGGATGGCTGCCACTGTTGTCATCATGGTAGTGAGGACTTCATGTGTGGGTGTGGGTGTCTTTAACGACATAGAGTCTATGATTTCGCGGGGTGCACCAATCATGTACTCCCACACTTCGCCTATGCGCGCTTCGCCCATGTGAGCTGTATGGGGAAGGCAATTTTTGGCCGTCAAGCATTTGTCAATCACTGGGTCATGGCAAATGTCTTCAATAGTCTGTAAGTCCTTGCAGATTCCTATAACGTTCATTCTTGGGATGCTAAGACAAGTGATCAAGATGATCAGAACTATGCCTAATCTCAGGTGCTTCCGCTTAGTCAGGGGTTTGAAGCGGATTGGTTGACGTTTACTGGGTGCCTGAAGTTGAAGGTTGGCGCGTTGATCCGTTTGTCTATTTGAACAGACCAAGAACTCAGGACTTTCTAGCCAGGTCAATTCTGATAACTGTGTGGCAAGGTTGGGCCACTTCACTTGGTTCACAAAGTTGTTACCTGTTGGCACATGTTGCCATTGTTCAGGACTCAAGGATGTTTCAACTCTCTTCATTCTATTGCCTACATAAACGTAGAAATGTCTGCTTTGTTTGTAGATGTAGCTTGACATCTCCTTGCTGTCTGCGTAGAAGGTGGTAGACTGTAGTTCAAGGCGCAGCGTCTTCGCTGTCAAGTTGGTGAGCTTTGCAGCCAACGTGGTACCACGTAGTACTAACCTTGGTACGGTGTGGCCTTCATGTATTGTTAGTCTCGCTTTTCCAAAGAAGACACCGAGACTGCAGCTCTCCCCGCTGTAGACTCTGATGCATCTTATGGTTGTAAACAATATGACGTAAGTGTGGCTCTCCCCGCTGTAGACTGTGACGCATCTTAAGACTGCGTTTGCCTTTGTTGACGCATCTAAGGAAGCATACAATTCTTTCTTTTGCACTATGGCGGGTGAGCTGGAAACATACGTGCACTGCACTTGCATACTCTTGGGACATCTTGGAAGTAAACTCCATGACTCCCGGTCTTGGAGACGTTGCTTGTCTTGTTTGTCCTCTATGGACAAAGCTAAGTTGTTGTGATTCTGACTGGTCTGGAACACTGTTGCTTCCAAAGCAGGTTTGGTTGTCACAAGCGCGCAGTGTTCTAGGTGTGGTTTCAGGTGAGGTGCTGTTCCATTACAGGGAATGGAGGTGTTTGATATGCTCACCTGGGTTGGGATTTGCGGTTGATCAACACAAACTGTCCCTATGGCCCATCCGAGTTCCGGCGGGTTCCGTGGGGCTACAACGGTGGAAAGATCTTGTTCCTCTCCCCGCTGTATAGGCGTTGCCATTGCTGGTGGACCCGTCCGGTTGCCATCAAAGGTATGGTTCGGCGGGTTCAATGGGGCAGCAACGATAGGAATGCCTCCTTGCGCTCCTGGCTGTGTGGCTATTGCTGTGGCTGGTGGACCCATCCGGTTGCCATCAAAGATATGGTTCGGCGGGTTCAATGGGGCAGCAACGATAGGAAAATCTCGTTGCTCTGCCCGCTGTGGAGCCGTTGCCGCTGCTGGTGGACCCATCCGATTGCCGTCAAAGGTGTGGTTCGATGGGTTCCGTGGGGCGGCAACGGTGAAAAGATCTTCTTGTGCTCCCCGCTGTGCAGTCGTAGCCGTTGCTGGTGGACCATCCGGTTGCCATCAAGGGTGTGGTTCGATGGGTTCAATGGGGCAGCAACGATGGGAATGCTTTCTGGCGCTCCCCGTTGTGTATCTGTTGCCGCTGCTGGTTGACCCATCCGATTGACTTCAGTGGTGTGGTTCGATGGAGCAGCAACAGTGGGAAGATCCCATGGCCTAGTTGTCGCGACATCAACTCTGTGACTGACTGGCACATCTGGCCGTTGAGATTCTTTCGTTCGTCTACTCGGTCTTGGGGGGCTTGTGGCTGGCTGTGGGCTCACCTGTTCACGTTGGAACGCGCTTTTGTTATCCACGTAGGCCTGTACTCTGCTACATCGTTTTTTGTTCTCCAGTTGTTCCCTATTGGACAAGAAGGTGGGCTCCTGGAGTGTTCTCCGAAGGCCTTGTGCCCTTGCCACTTTGTCCGCCACGTCTCGTTGGCTTCTTATGAACTCAAGTTCGTCTTGAATGGCCTTCATTTTGGCCTTCCTTATATCTGCTTCGGCTTCTGCTTCAGCCTCTGCTTCAGCTTCTCTTTTAGCTGCTTCTGCGTCTGCATCAGCCTTCATTTAGCTGCTTCCGCCTCTCTTTTGACCGCTTCAGCCTTTCTTTTAGCTGCTTCCGCCTCTCTTTTGACCGTTCTACTGCTGCTCAAGCACAAATATAAAGTCACTAGATCTTGCTCACCTTGTTATTTCCAACCAGGTGCATCAGAAGATTAACCATCTGGCAGCAGATAATTGAAAGGGTCTTTCCTGCTGATGAAAATAACCTAACCTCAGCTCCTAAAGTATTTTTTTTTAAAGTGAACAGCATCATTTAACTTATGCAATTGAGGGATATGCTGGGATTGGACTCTTTTAAAAAGCTGTCAGCCTTCCTTGACTAATCTTGAAAAAGACAAGGAGGGCTGGAGGTAACTATTATAATAAGGATAGCAGATAGGGAATCCCAGAGTTGTAGGCTAGACTTAAGAGAGAGCTGGAGCTAGAGACAGAGACAAAGCTAGAGAGATAGATAATACATGCATGCATGCATGCATGCATGCATGCATACATACATACATACATACATACAGGGCTTTTTTTCTCGGAGAAAAGGTGGCGGAACTCAAACCTGGCCACGCCCTCATCAAACCCTAGGACCGCCCCTTTAGAGAACAGGAATGCAAGTAAAATTTGGGAGGGGCTATTTCCGGTGTGGGAGGGGCTATTTCCGGTGCGGCCGGCCCGGAAAAAGGTGCCGGAACG